TTCTATTGTTACATACTGCTTCCGTATGTATAGGATGTACAGCAAAGAATAATGATGACACAAAACTCGCTGCATCTGGTAGAAACATCAAACAGATTCTGCAACAGAGCAATTTTCTGTATGTTTGTGACACAAATTTTAAACTTCATAGATCAAAAAGAAAATTTTCTAAAAAATTTTTCTCTTATATAATTTTGATATTACAAGCATACAAGGATACTTGAAGTATAAAACGCACCTGAAGTATAATAGACATACTCCAACATGTAGAATAACATTAAGCAGGTGATATCCCATAGGATCCAGCTGATGAATCAGGTAATTCCATCGGAATGTGAGTACACAAAGAGGTCTATAAGATTTGTGCGATTGTTCCTATTAAAAAGAGGACAAAAATGAAAAAATTAGTTGGTCTATTTGAAGCAGAAAAGACAAAAGATAGAATATGTTCCTTACAAAACTCTTTGATAATATTAGAGAAAGATAATATATTTAAAATATCAATTTTCAATGTTAAAGAAAGGAAATACATTTCAAATTTCTACTTTTATTTTACACTTTTATTTTACATTACACATAACCAAACTGTTGCAAACTCATTTGTATTACTTTTATTATTAAAGAAATAAAATTATTATTAATTATTATTAATTAAGTGATATTTATGATTAAACTGAACGAATGTGAACATTAATTAATACATTCGGCAGAAGCTGACTGTTCAAACATCCGTTCGCCGTAGTTATACTTTTATACATATCCTATATTTAGAATAAAATCGATGTATCCTCGATCTTTAGAGAAAAAAAGAAAAGAAAAATGTAAAAAACGTAACGAAAACGAATAGAGATTTTAAAACTTGAAACCGAATGTGGCGCGGTACATTGCATCACGAGAATGTCTTCTGAATAAAACAGATTCAGTTTGGTTTGCTTTTTATTGAAATTGATATAGTTTCAACGATATCAATTGTTAATGTTACAAATACGAAAAATTCTGCTCCAATTGTCACGTTTTCGCCAGTAAAAATAAGCGAAAATTATTTTTGCAGGTTTTTGGTATCGAACTTTGAAATATTCAAAATTATACGTGAATTTCGATTTAAAACTGGTAGAATTTCAATGATATTAACGTCAATCATTGCACTTGCATTGTGAAAAATAAACAAGAAAATATTATTTTCGCACGCGAATGTAAATTCCACTGAAATCGGTGCGATTCCAGCAATATCAACTGTTAATGTGAGAAAATATAACGTCTCTGCAAATTAACAGTTTCCATAATTAAGAGGATAAATAAAGATTATTTTCTCAGACTGACATAATCTAAAAATCTGTAAAAATTTTACGAATCAATGTCGAATCGTTGAATTGGAGAATCTCAACATCTGTACGATTGAATATCGCAGATGCGAGAAAACGTATCGTACATCATCGCTTTTCCATTGTCGAGAGAAGAAACATAGAAAATAGAGAAAATGATTTTCACGCATCGGTAGCATATAGAATCGGAATCTCTCAAAATCGTACCGATCTCAATTCCCGCTGCGTGGGACATGACGCGCGAGGGGACGACGGATAAGAGAGACGGAAGACAGAACGAGGGATCGGATCGGGATGAAATGGACAGGACGCTCGCGGATCAATACGCAGGGGGCCGTCTATAGAGGAAGGGAACGGGAGGGGAGGATCTCGAACGCGCGTCCTCCAGCAGCGGGCGACGATGCCTCCTCTTTCCGTCGATCTTTTTCTCTCTCCCTCCCTCTTACTACAAAACTCTCCCTCGCGCACCTTATGCATCGGGGTGCCCCAGAAGTCGTTATAGAAGACATTCTTGAGGGGCGTGTGTGGCCTCAGGTCACGGTTATCCTTGATCGCAGAGATGTCATCGAAGACGAAGCCGCAACCGAGGCTATTGAGGTACACGGCGAGCGCGGTTACCGCCACGATCGCCGCGAGTGCTCCCCGCGCAGGCACTCCCATCACAAATAACACATCGATCGGCCGGCCGTCTTTCGTTTCTTTCGCGCGGTCTCGCCGACCGCCGTGAACGGAAGGAAGAACGTTCTACTGTATTCCCTCTCGTGCTTGCTTGCTTGCTTGCTTGCTTGCTCGCTCGCTCTCTGTCTCTTTCTTTCTCTCTCTCCTTCCCTCTCTTTTTCTTTCTCCCGCCTTCGTCCTCCCACTTCCCCTCTCTCCCTTCTCTTTCAATATTGTAACGCGGTGTTCTTAACTGTAAGAACCCCACGAGAGACGCACGAATGTCATTTCCACGCACGTCGACGTAGCCGCGTCCTCTTTCAGGCACATCACAACTGATGTCGATTCGCCGCGACCGGGCACCAGCGCGAGTGCCGGCGAGTCGAAGCGCGTCGCGTCGTCGCCGACATGGTCACCGGTGGACTGACAGCTTCGGGAAGATGAAATTCTCGCCAACCGTTTGTTAGCTGCACGTTCACGCCTTATCACCGTGACTGAACGCGGAGCCCGCGAACTAACGGAACGGGGAACGTGGTGAAAAGAGAGAACGCGTTCAACGCGAGCGGACGCACGCACCACGATCGAGCTGTCAAACGGCGAAGTCGTGTTGCGCACGTCGCGTCGCGACGACAGCGACGCCGACGTCGTCGCTGCGCGTATGCGCCGGCTTGATGATATGGACGGCGCGAAAAGGGAAACTTGAAAATATATCAGAGAACTCAGAGAGATCATAGCCGTGTTTCGTTTCACGCATATTTATCTATGTTCATGTTGCATATGCATAGAAAATACGTGCATAGTGCGTGAAACGAAACATAACCTATATTATCATCCTGAGTAGAATGGAAAAGCTGAGATTTCAGATACTCTGTAAAAATAATTTTGAAAAAACAAGATAGATAAAGGATATAGGCAAATAGATTTAAAGAAATATAGAAAAATTTTTCTTAAGAAAGAAATTTTTTTAAGAAACGTTTATTGCAAAAATATGAAGATTACGTTACAAAACGTCCCTTCCGCGGAAGATTTCATCCAATGGCTGTTTCGAAACTTTACGAGTGTTTCCGATTGGCCGCTCGGAAACGTTCCAAACCTCAGAGAAAACCTTCCTCTGCCGGTAAAATATTCAGCTGTGTTTCGTTGTGTAAACTACGGGGATCGAATGGCGGGAACACAGAGGATTAATTGGTTCATCTGAAACAAATTTTGAGTGTAACGGAATGAACAGTATGATCGAGTTTTTTAATTCATCGATGGATCCATCGATATACTCGTAGTAAATGCTACAAATCGCAGTAATGCTATAAGGAAGCAAGAACCATATATTTCAATAAAATACCAAAGTATATAATTCTATTGTAATTTAATATACTATATCTTTGTCAAATTGTGTGTCCACAGTACATCAATTTATCAGGATACCTAATATTCCCGAAGTTCCGGTCTAACCGCCGTTACGTTAAAACGTGTTTGAACATGTTCGGACCTGATTTTTTTGGAATTTGTAACTCGATACCTTGGATGAAAGGGCGATAGAGATAAGTCTGAGTCCAAGTAAAATAATAATAAGTTCGAAATGTATATAACCTCAACTCTAGTACTTCTACCCGTGTTATATTTTGCTTGCAGTATAAACGTTTTATTCTGTTCATCAGGTTATTCTTTCTGATGAAAACCGATTAGCAGTGCACTCTGATATTAAACATCTGTTATTGTAGTTAAGAAGATTTAAAAAGAAAGTATATCATATCCTAGATTAAGATATGAACGTTTGTGAGAGAAATAGAAAGTTTGATGGTGAATACATTTTAGTATCTCTTATATATAAATTCTGTTTCTTCTTTTGACAGGAAAACTTTCGGAATAGTGGATTTCCTAAATATTTGTCAAGTATACAATCTGTAGCAGTCCTCAATTGTCAAAAATCGTGTGCAAGCTTCTGTTTTAGTCACTAACCTCTCACAGCAACACCCATTATGACAGATGAAATAGAACTTTATTTTTATTTTTTCTATTGTACTTGACATTTTCTTAAACAATAAAGAACAGAAATGTCCACCAAAGAAAAAAAGTCACGTTTCAACTCGACTCGTGAACAAATATTTTTTGCAACGCTGCTGCCAGAGAAGAGATATATAACAAAAGTATCATAAACAATCATTGGTGTTACAATGAGAACAAATATAAAATGCTCTTTTAACGAAAATATATTAGGAAAACTTTTAGATCATTTTTATCTTGTTAATATTTAAATATAATGTATATGATATATATGCAAAAAATCTTAAGTTCTTTGTAGCTGAACTGGTTGCACTAGTTTGTATTACTTTTCTTCTTTTTTGCACCAAATTATAGCTATATCTATTTATTTTTAAAATATGAAAATGTGCACATTCAGTGACAAAAAACATATATATTATTTTTATTCAGAATCTCTTTTTGCTAAGGATTATTTCTGTTTGATTAAAATTTATTTTAGTTTATTTAGTTTATGTAAGAGCTTTCTGCTTCATAATTTAAAATGTTTCTACGCATATCTGGACAACAATTTTCCCAATATAGGTGCACTATGAATGCTCTAGTCTCTTCATTGATATATTTCATATTTTTATTTAATATTTACATATGTTAAATAGTTTTAATGAGATGTTACTGTCTCTCAATGTTTACGTTAACAACAATATATATTCTTTATTCATAAATTCATATAAATAAATGTTTTTTGTGAGTGCTGTTGTATAGCATTGTAAAATACATGGTGTGTATATATATATATTATTTAATATTATATATTTTTATTTTGTCTACTATATCTCTTAAAGTGATACTTTTAAATTAATTTCTTACTATATCTCTATATAATGGGAAATTGCTGAGTATACAAACATCATGAATTGCTTCTAGATACCCAGTAAACACAAAGTATCATCGACATTACAATGTCAGCTCAATCATATAGTATATTATATAACTGTTACTTTGTTATATAACAAAGAGTTGACATTGTAATATGGATGATACTTTGTATTTATTGGATATCCAGCAAAACAGTCTGTAAAAACTAACAATGCGTCACAAACTGCATGATGCACTAATCCACCTGAGTATTAGTACATGTATCATTCGAAAAGAGATTTTGCTATTCTAATTTTCCATAAATATCTTTATACACATTTTTAGAGCTTCTATTTTTTTTATATGGCTGCCATCAATTACATCATGCAATTAGACGTGCCAGTCTTTGCATTGAACTTGTTCATCATCTTATTTATATTATGAGTCTCTGAGCAAAAAACAAATTGTTTTAGATAAAAATCATGCAAAGCATGGATGACATTTAGAAAATAATGATGCAATGATGATTTGCATATAATGAACTTGTAGTGAAGCCTATAAACAGTGAAGAGGATATACGTGCAACTGAGAAACTCGTACGATAGCTGCATTTTGATATTCATTGTCAGTAGTAAAATCTATATATAATACGAACTATAAATGTTCAGTACTGACAGTGAATATCAGAAGGCAACCGACATGCGCTTCGCGCTCAGCTGGCGTATATAGATGTACGTGGCTCTCTTGGTATGTGTTATTCCCTCTATTCCAGTTTTTACGAGGTCGTGCCTCTGTTTGACTACACAGGTTCTACTCAAGATTAATTACGTATGAAGAAAATGTAACATGATCGTAAATAAATAAAGTAAGTATTATGGCTTTCACGGGATTAGAAGCTTATTTTTATATCGTATGTAAAGCTAGAAACACAGATTACACATTTCATGTTTTCTGACATGCATGCTGACCGGTAGCTCGATTCACTGTATAGATCTTTGAATCTACGACAGTGATTCATGCAGTGAACTGAACTGCCGACTAGCATGCATGTAAGAAGATATAAAATCGTGATTCTAGTTTAAAGTGGGCATCTTAATTTGATTAATTATCATAAATTGCAGTTTGTGTCGTTTATAGGTTATATTTTGCTGTTATCTTGAAACACTTAAGAATCGAAGGTCTTAAGTCTGGTGTACATAACTTGCAGACGCAACCGCAGTGGTCATCCTTGACGCTTCTGATTGGCTATCGCGACAAGCATTCGACCTTATGCCCGTGAGCTATATGAACCGAGCTTTAATTGTTTAACCAATTAATTAGCACTTAAACTAATTTAATTATCACTTAGATATCTACTTCGACGCGTAGTTAAAGTTTCACAAGTGGATCGACAACATGGAACATTTACCATTGCACGAAGCTCTAAGACCACTGGCTTGGTTGGAAGGGACGTGGAAGATAGAGAACTATGGCAGTGGCAAATATCCAACTATTAAAGATTTCAATTATTGCGAAGAGATAAATTTCACATCCATAGGCCAACCTATGTTTAATTACACCGCACAAAGTTGGCATCCAGAATCAAAGAGGCCAATGCATCGGGAAACAGGTTTTCTAAAGATGATTCCAGGGACCAACAAAGTATCTCTTGTTTTGGCTCACAATTTTGGTCTGGCAACTATTGAAGAAGGCGAAGTGACTGAGGAAGCTATTAATTTGAAGAGTACTGAAACTATATTAAGAGCAGAGGGAACAAAATCACCTGCTGTTACAAAGGTATATTAGAATAATAAGTAATAAAGGCTTGTAGAGATACACAGCCTGTAAGATATAGGATGCTAGTGAGAGAATCCAAATTGAAGGTGTTAATGCAAATATTGGCACATATTTATTATATTTATATTTTGCATTTCCTAATGTATAAACATTTTTAATTCAAAATCTCTTGGCCTTGAAAACACCATCTTATAAATACATAGAAATTATATATACAAAATATAAATTTTACATTTTTCATCTGTAACAGCTGTGCAGAGAGTTCAAATTGGTTGGCGACTATTTGGAACAAGTACTTTATATGGCAACTTCAAACACTCCAGAACTGACTGAACATTTGCGAGCAAAGTATAAAAAAGTGTGTGAAATGGCATGAGAAAGTACAAAGAAAGGATCAATTTTGGAATGCGTTTTACTGCGTGTATTACCTATTATTTACTGATGTAATTTTGGAAGTGTCGTACGCGAATAAAATTCCGGAGAGTCGAAGAAATGAATGCCAAATTGTCCACTCGTCATCTCTGGTAATCCACTCTATCAGATTCATATACGAACCATCACAATCGCAATCGTTGCGTAACTAACGTATCATCATTATAACTATTATTTCCAAAGCCAGACATAATACGCGGATCGTGCAGACCTACTGTTAAAAATATTATCGTTCATTGCATAATGAGACTTAATAATAGTATGTGTTTCTTCATGATCACCAGTCGTAACTTCCGATGCGAGACGACAAATATCGAGTAACGTTGTAATGTTATGGAACACTGCACGTCAGCATATGGTTAATCAGATTTTTGAGTACGTATAAATATCAGGAATCTCACGCGGGTGACTTCAGTATAGACGTAATCTGCGTCTCAGGCGAACGTGAAAATTGCTTAGAACTCGTCCCTATTTACGTTAAATTGTTGTATGTGCTTTACGAATTAAAATAGCAACCAAACATGTTGATGAAAATCTTACCGTTGCACGAAGTGCTCAGTGTGCTGGCCTGGTTGGAGGGAACATGGATAACGGAGGAGCCGGCGGCCGGCATGTTCCCGACTATCAAGCCCTTCAATTATTACGACGAGATCAATATCACGTCTATAGGTCAACCACTGTTCAATTACATCGCACAAAGTTGGGATCCAGAAACGGGGACGCCGATGCATCGAGAGACCGGTTTCCTCCAAATTAACCCGGACACGAATCAAATTACTCTCAATCTGATCAACAATCTGGGTATGATCACGATCGAGCAGGGTAATCTAGTCGACAAGACCATCGATTTGAAGAGTAACGCTATATACATGACAGACGTCGAGAGACCATCAGCTTTGACACAGGTACGCGTATATTTTCGCACAAATATCGCGTTAATAGTTGTATTCGCGCGATTAATACGTTTTCTTCTCGCAGACTCGCCGGGTATTCAAACTCAACGATGATCAATTGGAGCAAATCTTTTACATGGCTACACCGAAAACACCCGAATTGACGGAGCACTTGCGCGCTAAATACAAGAAAGTAGCGTAAAACAAGATTCGGGGGAGAACGAAAAATATGGACAGGATTTCCTACTTCCTAGGTTGATACTTTCCTAGGTTGATACTTTCCATGTTTTGCTATAATTATACGAGCAAGAATGCGAATAAAGAGTTTCAGAGAACCTGCGCGTGAGACGCGCACCAATTCTTGATGTAATTAATAAATGCTGCATAGTAAAACGGCCGTTTTAACTCATTTATATATGTATATAGTGTATCGGTTTACGTATAGTTATATTTCTTGCTTTACCAAGGTAAATTAACTAAACGAAAGGTTGGAGGTCGCCGCAATATCTCCAGGAGGAAATTTGCGACTGGCACGCGACGTGACCACACAGAACCGCGCCACGAACCCACGCCTATATCCTTAAGCATATCCTTTTCCACTCGATCGATGGGAGATTTAGTTATAACTTCCTTATTAACTGCCGTGATGCGACTTTTATTGATTTCGATATGTCTGCATTGCGATTTATATTATTGCGACGAAATGCACCCAAAATTTTGATTCGACATTGCACAACTATAATTATAAGAAGTAGTGAAATAAGGCTCAATATCGCACAAAGATCAAAACAGTCTTCTTGTTGTTAAGAAATAGCGTGACAATTAGCACAATTGAACTTCAGATATATAAAATGTCACGTGTTGCGGAGAGAAATCAAACTCTGATAAGCCGCAAGAAAATCCTACTAAACGGTTAAAATCAATTGAAAGCATACCCAATATTAAGAGGTCGAGAAATTCTTTTTACGATGAAGCGAGGAAAGAGTCGTCAGAAAGCAAGATCGATCCGATCTTTCAATTTGACTCTCGTTTTCCTAGCAGAAAAATATATGAGCATGAAGCAACTGTCTTGTATTAATTGCGCGGCAAGAATGTAGACTTGCACATTTCGCGATGTTGTGAAACTTTAATGAAATGCCCGTTGCTTAGCCGAGTCGCCCGAATAAGGGTAGGGAACGTAACACCTGCGTGTTTACTCGCTGAAACAGCCCCGACCTGGCGCGGCGCGACGTCAAGCGCGACAGTTGCTCGCTGCGCCGGCATGACGAAGGATCGTTACCTGCTCGCGCCTGAAGACTCGGTCTCCGCGAATTGAATAACTTATTCGCACCGCGAAAAACAGGAAGAAGAAAAGGTGCCATCATTCGTTTCAGTGACGCCGTCAATTCGCACGCGCAGCCAATTCGAAGTGGTTCGAGTGTGATACACGGTAACATGCGTTTCTTGTTAAAGTGAACTTTGCATCCGGTACATTCATCTCGGTCATTCTCAAGTCACTTTTGAGCCCGCGAATATTCTTTCGATTTCTTTTCAATCTGGGAGAAAGAGAGAGAGAGAGAGAGGGAGAAAACTTTCTACTTTGGTTTGCATTTAATTTGTAAATAACCTAGACTGCAAAATAACCTATATTTTATGAAATTGTCTTCTTCGTTTCAAACACGTTGTAGTCCAGCAGTTTTATTACGTTTGGAATATCTCGTTTTATTCTATATCTGTTGAATTTCACGTTTATTTCCAAAATTGTACTCTCTTTTAGAGAAAATCAACTTTTTTCGTCGGACTGAAGGTGCTAATTTGAGGTTATGAAAAACAGAAGAAGATGGAAACGCGTTCTTCTGCAGCGCGGATTACGTCGATCGCGTTTATCGATCTGTTTGTATGGAAATTCGTTGAAATTTTTCGAGCTGTCACTATCAAAAGAGTGAAAGTATTCCTTGGACCGAGTACGACGTGAAACTTATCACGCGCGGTATCGAACGTATCGACTATAGATTGATTGTCTCGATGCGTTCGATCGCTTCGACTTTTTCATTTTTCGATCGCGCGCAATATGGCGCCGCTTTACGACGGCCACGACTATTACAAGAAGATGTTTGAACTCCAAGAGAAGCTACGGAAGAGGCAAGTACATCTCGAGAGAGATAATAGCGAGCGCGCCGGAGAAACATTATCGATGATGTTACGAATATTGCAGTGAGGAGGAAAGGATACGGCTGGAGGAGCGATTCAACGTACTCGTACGAGAGTCTCGTAACAGGTGAGTTTTCACTTTCTCTCAAAGTTCATATTATTTAATTATCATTATTATTATCTGTATTATATAATTGAATTATTTTTATTTCGTAAAAATTGGGACGCTTAACGCTGTTGGCAAATTTTAATGCCTGAGAGAGAGAAAGAGAGAGAGGAATAGATATAGTGAGGTATCAAAATTCAACTAATGTGCTATAAGAAAATATCATGATGGACTCAATAAAGTAAATCACTCAAGCGGCTAATCAAAGAATGCTAAAATGATTGTCTCACTGCTTGAGGCACTTTACAATTTCTTGATAAAGTCGTGGTGAAATGTAACGTAATTAAGTTTTCTATATTGAAACAAAATGGTAAGCAAGTGCATATTTTCTTAAATTTGGAAATTAATAATTATATAATCATTTATAACATTACTCGCACTACTTTTAATAAAGAGAGATTTTCATTAAAAATTTTCCTTCAGTCAGTATTTTTCTCGAAAGATAAAAAGGAGTAAAATTATAAAATTGCGTAGTCTTTTTCTTTCTAAATTCTTTGCGACTATAATAAATAACTTTATCTATCAGTTATCCGTGATTGGTTAACTCTTGTCAATCATAAATATGACTGATCAATTCTAATAGAATAATTGGTAGATAAAGTTAACCGGAAGTGAAGAAATTGGGTATTAGTCTTAATTTACATCCGCTTTTCGAAGTATCAGGCAAATTTCCTGGTTCTGAATTGTCAAAATCTGAAGAATTGTAAAACGAATTATTCTATGCTTCACGTGACGTGTCGTGACGATGTAGAGGAAATGCTACCCAAAATACTCGATATCGATCCAATGGCAACCCGGTGCCCATTCTACGGAATGTCACGATCAATAACGCCGCGAGCATAATCCCGTCCTCGTCGTCGCCTGACATATCTCTACTGTTGATAGAACGCGAATTCCGCTCTCCCTCCCTCTCTCTCTCTCTTTCTCTCTCTCGTTATGTTTACGCGTTCCAATTCGTGTCTGGCCGGGACATCCGAGCACTTCATCGATCGCGTGCACAGGATAAAAGTGCGGCCGTATATTTTATGCCGCGCGATGGTGGGCGTCGCTCCGCTTTAAAGCAATTGTATTGCAATTCATATAACGAGCAAAAATACAGAAATCGTAAGAATTCCCGAGGCATTTCTATCATTTCCAGTAATTTGAAAATCAACATTTCCTAAGTGAGACAATTTGGTAACAAATTGTTCTCTTTATTTTCAAAATTAGATCTTGTTCGCATTGGTGCCTTAAATATCGATATCGATATCGATATCGCTTTAAAATTACGTCCGTTTTAAAACTCATTGTTATTTACTATTGTACATGAGAAATAGCTCAACAATTTTCTAATTGCAGACACGACACCTGTATAAATCGATTGCGCATGAGGTATATACAGTATTTAGAGGAGCAACGCACGAGGGACGAGCGGAATCACAAGCTCCTCGCAGCATTGGATAAAGTCACGAACAAACTCGCCCTGATAAGTGCAAAAAAAGACAGACTTAATGTTCTCAGAGTGAGTGTCCACACAGTAAAAATCATTAATATTCATTTATTTAAAATATAATGTGGAATTGTAAAAATTGTGTAGTATAGAAAGAAAGCAATATCCATTATATTCGAGAACATCTACAGATTCGAATGCAACAAACTGAATCTTACGTTAAAAAATAAGAATCTTTCCAATTATAAACTTAAAGTCATATCTTTTCCTCCATCCAAGAGCTTGAAATTTCAAGAAAAAGAACTAAAAAATGTAAAAAAATGAAAATTTTCACTTTAGATTATTATTATCGGTTCAGATGTACGCGACAAATATAATTCAAAACTGAAATTTTATATATTACATTGATAATTTTCTTTCATAACGAGAATATAATTAACGCGAGAAAATGAATATCACAGCTAACCTCCTCTAACGAGTATGGAATCATGGCTTCTTTCCAGAAACAATACGAGGCTCATCTACTTCGCGTTTATGCTAATCGCCAGCCACCCGGTAGCATCACTGGGGACAGTGGCATTGCCAGTCAAAATGAAGACAGGTATCCGCGGAAGACCGTCGTAACGGCGCGCCCCGATTTAGCGGCTACGGAAACGAGAGGCATTTCGTCACCGCGCGTGCACCAGACGCCTTTTCAATCAAGCCAGTCAAGGTCAACTCCTGCGTCCAAATTCCACGATCAGAATCCAGTAAACAACACTTTACTCAATAATTCCGCGCTATTACCAACTAAGACGCTAGACGCACCCCTCGGTGTCGATTATCATCAGACGAGTGTCTTGCGAACGCCGCATATCTACGTTTCACCCTATCTCGGTCAATCGGGCGATCAGATCATCCAGGTGCCAACAATTTCCACACCTGACACTCGTCCATACACGCGAACGATTTCCGATTACGGCGAAAACGCGCCCGGCAATCTTCAAGATGTTCCAAATCTTCACGTTTCTTACACAACCGCGCCGGTCTTGTCGACGCCACCCTCGAAGCAACCTAACATCGCCCTCGTTAACCAGTTGCTCAGACAGCACATGGGATCGGTGCATGCCGCACCCGATCGCTCGACAATCGCGCAGTTTCCCGCCGCAGACGCAACGCGAGACGCGCATTCGCACTCTCCGCGACAATTCGATCCCTTGACATTCGTGCAACCGTTCCGTGACGTACTACACTCCGATCAGCAGCCACAGTTAAGAGAATACGTTCCGTCTGATGCAACAGTCGCGGAGACCGCTTCCATGGCCGCAAAGTTGAACGCGTATCCGACGTCGATAATCCCCGAGATGAACGTCCTTAATCAAGTCGGACTGCCCGGATATATGGACTATACGAGTCCGCAAAAGTCCGAGGACGAAGGATCCACCCGTTCCCTCACCAGCGACGACGTGGACGATCTGATAAAGCGCAACGAGCATCTTCTATGGAGAAACGCGGATGTCGCCAAGTCACTGCCGCGTCGGTTGTCGAGCGCTCTAGTCGCAAATGACGTTAATCCGGACGAGAATGGCAGAACGACAGCGATATTGGAGAGCGAACTGGACAGATACATCAGCAATATCCGAAAACTCCATCGAGAGCATGGTGCGCAGAGTCAAGAAGAATTGGACCACGAACAGAACACCAGCGGCGATTTGCTGAATGTCACTCTGTCAGAGGACGCTCAAGAGTTACCTGCCGAGGATAAGACGAGGAAAGAGAAAGTACCCGAAGAAATGGACAGGATCTTAGCGTTGGCTAGCGATCTTGTTTCCAGAACAGCGGACTCTAGAGAAATGGCGAGTCCAGCCGAACGAGATCGCAGCGACATAGTCGAGGACGAAGAGAAACATCGAGCCGATAAGCAGAGTGACGCGCCGAAATCGGAAGAGAAGCGCGAAGCATTTGCGAGCGGAGCCGAGGGACACGATACTGCGACGAAGAACGAAATTAGAGAAGACCCAGTTGCGACACACCCAGCAAAATTAGAACGGCCTCGCGAAGACACGAAAATTACGAGAGAGAATTGGAATAATGATGACACAGCCGAGTCGCGAGTATGCGATCGGGAAGTATTTATTGCAAAGGGAGATGACGCAAAGGAGGAAACAACCGTATTCTCGGATAGCGGTTTACCAGTCGACGATCCGAAAAATTCAGTGGAAGAAAGATGGCTCGATCTCGTTACCGGCAAGGAATCGAATATCGACGGTATATTCGATATCGCCGAGGAACTGGCGCCATGGGATCTTGCGAGTATACAAAAAAGCGTTCGCGAATTACGCTTGAATGATCTGGATAACGAACGAACGGCGGAACGGCAAATCGAAGAGGCGGCAAACGACGAGATCGGCGATAAAATTGCGAGCGAATCGTCACGAGTTATCGAGCAAATCAACGCGGACGGCGACTGGAGAGACTCGCATCCTCCGTCAGAAGTGAAGAAATCAAGTGAGAAACACGAAACAGATACCCCCATCGAGGAAACTGAATTCTCCGTAACATCAAGTGGAGATCGAGAATGTGTAATCGAGGAATCCGCTGTTCCTCAAGCAGATGAAAAACTCGGTGAGGTACGAAGAGGAAACGAGAGCGAGAAACGACAGAACGTCGATGAGTCGATGACGTCGGAAACGTCGCGAATCGACGATCAAGCCGAAATCGCGGAACAAACTAATGAGTATAATATCGAGCAAGGATACGCTGAAGACCCGAATCAACGATATGAGGAGCAACAAGATCCGGACAGGCAATATGATTACGGGCAAAGTGTGCCATACGAAGGTGGCGGTAACGAAGAGGAGTACGAGAGGTACGTGGAGCAAGGATACGTTCAAGAAGGCCAGGAATACATGGAATACGTGGAGGGACAATATGAGCAATACGTTGAGGATCCGAACAGCCAGCAACAGTATCAGCATGATCCTAACGCGCAGTACGAGCAGGACCCGAATCAAGCGTACGATTACAGCTACGACCAGCAGTATGATCCCGGTCAGAGATATGAAGACGACCCTAATCAGACGTACGAGTATCCCGAGAATGCTCCTTACGATCCCAACCAAACATACGATGGCGCATACGAACAAGAGTACAAGAGAGAACAACAGCATCTCGACGATAACGTCGTTACTGTCGACAGCGGTCGCGAAGGAGCATCGGAAATGGAAGAGACGTCCTTGCAGAAACAAACGGATCTGCAGTCGGAACAGAAGGCAGATGAAGGCGAAGATAAGTCTAAGAAGAAGAAGGACGTGATCAAATCTTTGCTGGACTCGGACACGGACACTACGATCGAGAGGAACGTCTCGAACACGGAGAGTGATTTCGACTTTAACTGAAACGCACGGTGCACATCTCTGTCGCGTCGACGAAGATCCATTACGGATGAGGAATGATAATCACCATGTTCCATCGACGAGACGGAAGATCGAAGGTGACCGAGTCTCTGTTGGATCCGAACGTCAGGGATGAAGGCCTCGAGCACGGAGGACGATTTTGGTTTCAATTGCAGCTTTAATTAAAATGCACGAGTCGCATAATAGATAGCGCGGGCAATTAATTTCATCAAGGCGGAATCGTCGGTGTAAATATCGTATCTATGTGTAGAGGCAGAATAAAATGATACAACCAGACATAATTGACAGTATATGTTACTTCGTGGATGCTACATTATCTAGTTCTCATAGTAGCTCGCAACGGAATCGGGGCAATTACGGGAGGACTTGTTAAACACATCGCGCTTTTAACGCGGAATCGCATTGTGACGAGTGTTAATTATCGCAAACATTGAATCTTCAAGAGGAATACCTACAGAGCAAAATATGTATATAGAGACGAAAAAATTAATTAGATCACTCGAAAGTACCGATCACAACAGCAAAGTAGAATAAAAACACGACACTGAGATCCACAAAGGATCATTTTGGAATCGAGTCTTCAGTTTCAGCTAATTTAGAATGTACATATCGCGGCAATAAACGATTAAATGCTACTCGCCGAGTATCCGTTCGAGTGATAACGTTGCGCTCGTAAAACTGTGAGAGCGATATGTAAGTTTATATACTTTATTCATGTGCCGTACACACGGAGAGGATATTATAGATTCTTTCCATAGAAATTCTTTCCAGTTTTATCATGTTTCTCTAATGGTGCTAGAATAGACCACCTGGCTTGCTCAGAAACACGGTAAATTTTGCTAGAAATATAATCAATATTCCAATAATACATTTCAATATCTAAAATATGTGAAAAATGAAGAAAGAGATAATAAATGGCTGCAAAATGCCGATCTATTTCTCAATAACAAAACGTTCCACAGTAATTTTCGCTATAAAATTCTCTCAGTGTATAGACTATAACACCGATTGTGTATTATCGTTGCATTGTTTTTTATTTTTTTAGTACAACAGTTGAGCTAAGACCAAGTTTAGAACAGGAGAATCGATCGAACTTGCTCGTTAAGTCGCTGCGTGCCCTTCAAGACTTTGCAATCCACGATCCAGCGCACGCTATACGCTGTATAGACGCAGATTTTAGCGCCAGGACGCTTTCGTATCCCATATAATTAGCGTGCTTCGACAGTGTGGCGGCGGCGACGGTGGCGGCGGTCAGTCGCATGGTATGGATTTTCACAGGATCGAGGGGAACGAGTCTGCGCCAGAGTGGTGTCGCGACTTGCAGAGTGGTATCGTGTCTTGTCGACCAATCACGCTCAGTGCTACGCGAGTCACCACGGACGCAGTGCCGTAAGAGCTGTTGGTGAAGAGGTAGCGAGATCCTTTGTGCATTTCGTCGCGGATATTATCAGGAAGGTAGGAATTACTCTAGTTTTATAGTCCAAAGTTATCTTGTCTCTCTCTCTCTCTCTCTCTCTCCCCCCCCCCCTCTCTCTCTCTCTC